AAGCAGCAGTATGAGGAAGCGATTACCGAAAAGCGGTGCTTCTTCCCTGGTGCATACAAACCCCAAATCTTTTAGGAAACAAATTACGCTGAATGCTACAGAGAGAGAATTTATCTGCTATCACTTTACAATTTGCTATGTAATTTTACCTCCTTCTGATGATTTTTTTTCATTCTACAGCTGTATTAGTCAGAACTTACATAAATTAGCCTTTTAATGGACAATTTGACATAAGAGTTCTGTGAAAGGCATGTAAAAACACTCCTGACAATCCAGACATTTTGTTCTGACAATATTAACAACTTCTGTTAAAACCATTAGTACACAGCTGAATTGCACGGCATATGCGCTGAAGTTGTTAAGGCTTAAATTAGCAAGACATTATGTAAGCAAATTTTAAGCATAATTTAAAAGAACTAAATGACAAACACTCAGTAAAAACACCTGACATACAATTAGGGAAATGTTTCCAAGTTGTCTTTCTTTCCAAGTATAAACCACTGACATTATACTAAATGAAAATAATTTCAGTGAAACCCAGATCAGAAATGTGAATCTCTAGTATTTCAGCACTGATAATCAACATCATTACCTTCCACAATCCCATAGTACTAAGTTCAGTTAAATCAATTCTTATTTATGTACAAAGTATTTTCCATCCTGATTTCCTCCCAGTCATCCTTTATGTATGTAAGCAGAAAAATGGGTAAGCAAACTGCTCTATTCTGCACAACTAACATTTCTAAAAAACACGGGGAAATGGTGGCAAAACTGTTTTTCATAATTTTCTCCAATCCTTTTCACTTTAAATTTGATCAAAAATTGTTACCCTAATGAAATCTATAGAATGCTAGACTGATCGCTAGGGAGAAATAGTTTAATACACCCACAGCATCTCACAAAATAATTTTGATTGAAAGAAACTGCATTCACTCATTCAAGGCTACTTTTGTACACTAAAATGTATCTCCTTTTCTATAAGGAGAAAGAAACAGAGCTGTATGACTTTGTATATCAGGTGTTTACAAAAGAAATGCACCTTTTTGCACTACCTAACCAAATGGTAGGAAAAAGTTTTACAGGAACGATGCAAGGAAAAAAATCGTGGGTTTGGGTATTTTTTGCTCTACAAGGCCATGGTACCACTGGAGTAAGAACAGAGCAAGCAGTGGCAGCCAGGCCGTCGGGAGGACTGAGCCAGGGCTTTGCCCACTCCTTGCCAAACCATGGAGAAGCACTAGCCAGACGTTTTGCTGGCTTCCCCACTGCCCTAACCACCCCCATAGTTCACATCAGAGGGGAGAGTGAATGGAATGGAGAGAAGTAACTTAAACCCATTACCACTTTGGCAATTAAAACGCTGGTGCACGGAGCAGAACTAGAAGGATCCAGAGCAAACGTGTAGACACTCTATACAGAACTGACATCTAGGAAACATTGTGCGAAATTAAAAGCAAGTGGTCACTCCTGCCAGCTTTTCTCTAAGCACCTACATGACTTCCTTCTAAAATGCCATCTCACTTAAAATCCTGTACTAATAATGTTCTTCCTTCTCTAAAAGTATAGGCAAATGCTCAGTGCTCACAGTGGACAGGTTGCCACAGTCACATAACATTGTTTCTGAATACTAAGGAAATATGAAAGAAGAGAAAACACTTGTACTTTTTCTGTATGCCATACAACAGCCAATGGTTTTCAAACCCAGCCATTGCTGGTATTATTACCAACATTATTAATGCAGTGAATACTCTCACTGCACAACTACATTTAAGCCTGGTTTGAATAACCGAACTAGCTAACAGTCCTCTTATCTGACAACGCTCCCATTAAATGCAATCTCCCTGCAACCATATGAAAGGAGAGCAGGCTCAGGTGAGAAGTATGAAGAGCTATCCAAGACTCACAGAACATGGAAGAACTTAAGATATATATTTAGGTATGCATTTTGACATATTAGAATAAAAATAATTAAAAAGTATGTGCCTTTTAATGGATGTACCAGTTACTGCCAAGTATTTTTTTAAGTGCACTGGAGAATTCTCATGATAAACCTAGGACGCTTCCTAACTCCCATTACAAGGAATTAATGTTTTGGGATGTCCTTTTTTATTTTAAACAATGAGAGAATATATTAAATTCTGCTATATATTTTTGAAACAGTCCTTAAAATATATTTGGTACTTACTTGAAAAGGTCAAGAACAGCTTCAAAGGCTTTGCCCGCATTATTACATAGTCCTAGTAAGGACCTGATACATTCCTCTACAGCCACAAGCAACTACAACACAAATCCTTTCTTAAAATTATCAAATTTAACCTTTAAATTTTTATTGGGTTATTTTTCCTTCCAATAAGTCACATGAAAAAATTTCCAAAAGCTTTACTGTACCGATTGCAAAAATCTTTTTCCAAGCCAAGAGCATATATAGCCAAGTTATACCCATTCAGTCTTATTCACCATCTTCTTATTCTGTTCAGTCTTATATTCACTGTTCTCTAGTTTAAAGGCTATTCTTATTGTTTAAACTTACTCTATTTCTAAGTATCAATTATAATTTCTCCAGCTTTTGTCCCTCTACTCTCTCTAGTCTTCTGTGATGAGCTCTCAATTTGTTATCATCCTCTGTATGACTTTGTGCCTGTCACAGCTTGAATTTATCAAAGGTGGGTAACACACAGTACACAACATCCCAGGTGAGGTCTCATTAATACTACCAATGATCATTAAATTTTCCAACTCTACAGGAAATATCTTGAATCTAGGATCATGCTTGACTTTTCCTGGGCTTGGCACTTTGGTAATTCACACTTTGCTATCTTTTCCAACTGATGCGCCCCTAGCTCGTAGGAACTGGGGGCATGGGCTTTAATATTAATATAATTTATTGTTGTAAAAATTCATGTGGAGAGAACAAGGCTCATCTGAACATACTAATATTAAATTCACCAGATAAAGAAGGGTTTCTCCCTATGTAAAAATTAGTCAGGAATGTTGACACACTGAAAATAATTAACAACATTTTCCAGTGTTGCTTTATATAAATTATACCACTTGTTCTGCTTATAAAAGATGTTATTTGCTAGGTATGTAGTCATATTTTGGAATTAATTCATTCTATATATTCCATTAGCTTTCAGAGACAGGCACTGTGAAAGCAATTGTACTTTATAAAAAATTCCATGTGTTCCTCATGCAGTCAGGACTAAGTACTGGATACTCTCCCTCTGACTCCCATAACTTTTCAGCTGTTACAGAGATGTAGCTCAGCTTCACCACATGGTAAAAAGGGTATTTTCACGTATGTTATTAGGGCATTTCCTTGGCATGTGGAAGCTTGGAGTTCAACACAACAAAACCTAAGCCAAGGCAAGTGGAAACGACAAGGATATATTCAGTGGAACTTAGGACAATCCAAATGAGTCAGGTATGTCTTCAGCACATGTGTCTTCAGAGGAATTTAGTGCAGTGGAGTCTATTTTCTGGATCCCATAAGACATTATTCAAAGATGAACACTTAAGCTGTCACCTCATCAAAGACACCATCTCTACTGCGTGTGGATGCTATTTAGTTCCCAACTGAAGTGTAAGGGATGCCTTAAGCATATCAGCAGGTGAAGTTCACCTGGATTGCTCTCCAAAACCTGGCTAAATTGTACCTACACGGCACTTTCAGCACTTAAGAGCATTGCTGTCCCTGGCCCTCAAGAAGAATCTGTTGCAAGCATGTTAGCCTTTGAATACACCCCAGTGGGTGCATAAGTGATGCACTGCTTTAGTAACAAATCAATATCAGGCTGAAACTTCTCTCACGCTATCCTAAGAGGTTTAGATTAATAGAATGGAAACAATTTGGAAGTCCTGGATTATTCCAGCGCTTTCTTCAGAGTACCACACAGAAAACAGTGGAATGAAGCTGTAGCAAGTTATATGTCATAGCCATTAGAAAAACAACCATGCTCTCACAACACAACTGCCTTAGAAAAAACCTACTACAATATGCAGGTGTGATAGAAGTAATTTTCTCTGGGTGTGGCACAGTACTAAATTACTGGTTACAGGTGTGCGATGATATAAGTTGGGGTGTACCACCACTTCATACTACAAGCATAGCACCATCATTCACACATCAAAACCTACATTGGATTGTAATGACTTTACAGTCATTTAGGCTGAAGTGCCAGTGAAGCTGGCTAATTCCTGCTACCTAAATCTCCAGGTTAGAGTCTGGAATACCAGCTTTCACAGACCTCCCTGAGCATAGGCTGGAAGTGGACACGCACCGTTCTGCTCAAGTACTGCCACCCCTTCCTCTGTGTGCAGGGCGCAGAGATGAACAGGGAACTACCCTCACCTAATTTGAGATGAGGCATAGGCATTAGTTGTGAATATTGCCAATACTTGATCCTAAAAATTTTGCAGATTTTTGAAATGGTAACTATGCCTTCACAAAGGACTCACTCCATCTTGCTCGCTATACTTAGGTCCAGTTTTAAGAGGTTATCTTTAGCCTATGCAAATTATTTCAAATGTAAAAATCAAAAAGCTGATTTCACAAGAATTCCCTGAATTTCTGCTGCAGCCAGAAGTGAAACACAGCAAACCATATAAATCAATGTAAAATCACAATTAAAATACTAAATTAGAATTCCTGAAGCTGATGGAAGGACTTTGCATGCAAAAAGTCCAATTCTTAATGTAAGACATTTTTATGAAATGAACTTTATAACCTCCTCTACTTTTTAGCCTATTAACAATTCTCAGTTCTTAATTAATTTATTTTATTGTCCTAATTTTGACAACAGTCTTGGCTTTCCTTGCTGGGCTATCCTGGAATTGTACGTTCAGCTAGGGGATGGGCAGGGCCTGGGTGTTAGGATTCCTGTTTGCCCCCCCTCCCCTTTGGATGACTTCAAAATTTCATTTCCGTTTTTGACATTAATATGTTTCCCAGTTAACTAACAACATTATAATAATAAATGATAAAAAGCATGGATTCTAACCACTTTGTCCTCCTTTGGGAAAGCATCCAAGGAAGCAGAATAAAAAGAGAAAAGAAAAAAAGAAGAGAAAAAGAATAAAATAGGCAAGTATTAATAGACAGATTTCAAAGAAATGCAATTCTAATTACTCTCTACAAAGAGATAAAAGCATAAAATTTCCAAAGGAAAAAAGAGCTTTAAATAAAAAGATTACATTACTGCATATGTAGAAAACATATTTTCCCACCCTAACCCACAGAAGCATAAACAATATAATGAACAAAAGGCAAGTTACGAATGAATGGACACTTTTCCATTTCTGTGACTTAAAACAATAGGTGAAAAATAATTAAAATATATTCCTTTTTTTCTGAGTAAAGATAAGCTGTATTATATGCACGCTAATCAATAGTATAACATATCAAAGTATATTTTCATAGACTTGCTGTAATGACACCACCTGCAGGTGATGCAATGTAATGCATCTATTTATATTAAAATATGAATATATGAGAATTTTTGTCCAATACACCTACATTTTTTTTTCAGAATGTGAATTTAATTTAATGGACTTACAAGTACATCAGGGCTACGGAAAACTTCCAAAATAAAGATGAAATGGGTGTTTTTCTGAGGATTTTGTTTGTTTGTTTTATATGAAATTTCAGAAGCCCTATTCAGTTGACATGTAGCTAAAAGACAGTGAAAAGGCCATAAACTAGTTCCGTTGTGAACATGATTATCTGCCATAAAATCTGTGAACACTTTTAACTGAATCTATATTGATACAAAGACCATTGAAAGATTTACCCTACAAAAGACTGAAACCTTAAAGCCATGTGAGAAAGTTGTTATCTCATGATAGATAACAAAACTATTCAGGCAGTAAAAGGATATTTGTAAAACATTTTATAACACATCATAGAACTAGATGATCAGCCAAAAATAATCACCAGATAATGGTCTTCCAAATATAGATCCTACCACTCGTGTACAAGTGAGTAGCCAGTTCCTTGTGAGGGACTGACTGAACAGAGGGTATTCTTGGGCACCCTTCGGTTTTGTGGAGAGCCACTGCAGCTAACTGTATGCGGATCAGAGGGAGAAAGATTTATCTCACCCGCCTGAAAGTAAGATACCTAATCTAGATTAGGTTATACTTTTACTTTTTAAACAAATTTAAAATACATTACATTGACATAGCACTCTCCCTGTGGTGAGAAGTGGGTGGGGGTTTTTTTCTAACCAAAAAAATTGACTGATTTTATGTAAGAGAGATCTATAAATGTATAAGAAAAGCTCTGTAAAAAAGAAATCTAAAATGAGATCATTTAGTTCAATAAAAATTTATCAACGTAGAGTTGTACCTGAGCACAAGGGTTTCTTCTTTCATTCAATGAAAAACAAGTATGTTTTCTTCAATCCATCACTCAGCAGAACTATAAACTATGAATTCTTTTATTTTTTTAAATTAACTCTGTGAAAACTTAGTATCTCCACAATCATTAAATACATTATTCTACTTTATACACACCTCATAACGAAGTGATGAATGAAACACTTAAGTAAAATGAAGCATGAAATGCCAAACTTAAGGTAAACGATCTGCAGTGTGACAATGTCAAGGATGCTTTTTCTTAAGAGTACGCATCAGAAAACTTACATTGTTTGATCGCAGAGAGACACGACCTCCACATCGAGCACAAAACTTGGTCCGGCAATAAGAGCATAAATGGCCACAACCATCTGCAAACTTTGTTTTATGACAGATTCCACATGTTGGAGCATCATCCTTGTGCTCTCCCTGGTAACGGCGGGCTTCTTCCCCTATCTTTCTTACTTGCTCTTTATAGCTTTCAAATTGTTGATGCAACCTCCTGCATAGATGAGAAAAAAGTTTATATAGCAAGAATAGGAGGAAATACTACTACTGTGTATTTCTTTCTTTCAGTTTATAACTCTACCTAATATTCTTGGCATGTTCACAATAATAAATGGACCTCATATCAAATACACACTGCACATGGAAGACTGTATAGGACAATCTAAAGGAAAAAATAACAGACATATGTATTCCTATTAGGTTTACTTCAAAGCTCATGAGTGAACCATTTCACTTGACCAGAAATTGATCCAAATATAAAAAAATGGCAAAAAAATGCATAGTCTTAAACAGAAGTATCTACCATATACAGAATAAAAGCAGAAATATAATTGCTTGAGCAAATTTTCATTGCTTTTTACTCAACGTTATTTATACAGCAGGTGTAATATAAAAAATTATAAATCAATCCAGTTACAATGTCACATTTGTTTTCAAAATCTAAATTACTGCAACATATAACTTAAAGATTTCAACAAGCACTCCACAATCACACTGGCCGTCCAACTATCTGAGAACAATTTTCTATGTCAAATCTATATATTAACAATCTGTAGTATTCCCTCTTGCTAAGTACGAGAGACTATGTAAGGTTTGCTATCCCTCATTACAGACATTTCTTCCAATGTAGCTGTAGGAGTATATAGGAGTATTAGCAGGTATATAGATTCCTAAGGTGAAGACTGGTGTTCAGAGAAGTAGCACTTCTCCTCCAAGTGCCTCAGATAGCAAACAGCCTGACACTATGCCCACCAGCTGCTAAGCACCCTGCTACTCAAAAGACCCAGCTTCTAATCACGAGCTCAGGGAAGAGCACTCAGCCCTCTAGCCTTCACTTCCCCTTCTATAAGTGAGCAATAATAAAAATTAAATATTTAGTGATAAATCTTTCTTACTATTTTGATATTATCTCTGAGGAAAAAGATGTTCTCCTGTTGGTTTGTATGAGATTTTGTTGGCAAGAACAACATTTCAGAGGGGAACCAGCTAAAGGTCCAGGCACTTCTAAAAGGGGCAATTTTTCTTTTCTCCTGCTCCTGGCTGCAAGCTGTTACTGCTCCTTAGACACTGATTTTGACATTCACCAACTCCTGCTCAGTGAGCTACCCCATGGACCTCAACCAACAGAAAATTAATTCTCCTACATTAAAAAAAAAAAAAAATAAAAGTTTTCCCATCATTTTGCTCTCTGAATCACTCTGCTCTGAGCAGGGCACTGGCCTGTGAGGAAGGTAGGACACGATCTCCTGAAGCCAGAAATCAGAAGGACCACTGAACAGCAGGATCACCCTTTTTGCAGCAACAAGTAACCAGCTCAGCTGTCATGTGAAACCCCACTCCAAAGCTTAATTAAAAGGATCATATTTCAGCTCTGTTTTAACTATCTTACTATTCATCACATCATACAAGAAAGAAAAATTTCTGTAGGTGCACCAGGACAGCACTGCAACTTCTGACCTGCATTTTCATGAGCTTGAGCAAAGACCCGACAATCTAAGTGGGAGAGCCCAGTAGGGCACATTTGACAACTCAGTCTTTTCACCATGCTGTGTGGGACCTACAGGCTCTTCACCCACATTTTCAGATGTTGCTTCAAATCTACATCTCCATAGATAACATTAAAAAAATCATGAACAGATAAATAGATTATTAATGGAAACAGGGAATCCTGAGTTCAATAAATTATAACAGTAGGTGTGTTTTCTGTAGAGATCTTCATGATATCCTTCATCTCCACCTGCTTTGAGCTACCTAATTGTTTGATTAGCATTGAGACTCACACCATTTAACCAAAGCATTTCTAGTGAGACAATTCTGTATTTCTGTGAGATTTTGTGTGTGTGTGGTGAACTTGTTTTGACTTTTAAGATATAAGTAATCAGTGTTATTTGTATGAAATACTGTTTTAGTGAAGTGGATATTTTTACTTTCAGATGATATTCAAGCCTATAAAATGATAATTCAACTTGACTAACAGGAATCATGGTAAAATAATACACATATTCTATTTGGACAGAAATAAGACTGCTTGTAACTTTATAAATCAACCAACTCCCACACTAAAAACAGTGACTTCATACAGGAAAATTCTAGTGAGGATGCAGCAAGAGCAAAAGCTAAGAAGCCAAATAATCTATTCTCCCTGACTACAAACATGATGCATAATACTTAATGCTTTATCCTAATGAAAAACTTGGCAGAAGTAGCAAATGGGGGGGGGGTTGTTTATTTTTATTTTTATTTTTTACTAACCTACTTAAAAAAACTTTGTGGATGAGAAAAGTGGGTCAAAGGAATTAGGCAAAGTACTGGGGAAACATAATACTTTTGGCCACAATATTAGATTACGCGTATGATTTAACTTATCTTACACAGCTCCTCACGTATAATGCATAGAAACAACTGAAGACATTTAGGAATTTCTATAATAACCAGCTTAAATAATGCAATTAAATAATGGAGAGGTCTGTAGGTAAATTTCTTATTACATCAAATATTCTATTAAAAAATGGAACCATGGAAACTAAATTCAATTCTCCTTCACTACAGCAAGACTTAAAGCTCTGGATCTTTACTAATGTGGAAAGGGAAGATAACAGCAAGCACTGCACCTCTTACTGTTCTTTTCCAATTAGAAAGTTTACATCTGAATTTTTTTGATCAGATATGAAGCTTACAAAGTATATGAATACAAGGATGTTTTGCCCTTCTGTGTGCACCAAAAGGTAGATGAACGTACTAGCAACTAAGCAAAACTTAAGTGAGAGAAGATTTAATATATTTATAAATATGTTGCACTTATTTATAGATTTTTTTATTTTCTGCATCAGTGTAAGACTGGCCTTTTACCACGAGGGGTTCAAAACCAAGTGCTTATCTTGCATGTTGTACTCCACATTACTGGAGAAATCCTCACATTTTATCTACAGCAGGAAAAATTGAAGAAAACGGTTGCAGAATTCACAGAGCAGAAAGAATCTTACCCAGCCCATTGCAGTCTGGTTCAATTAGTTCTTTTGCAAGGTTTGAACCACCATTCCCACTTTTTTGAGGAATGACAGGATCTTTGTATCTCTGGCTATTCTCTAACAGCAGCAGCAAATCCCTCTCAACAGTTTTGCCTTATACAGAAGTATTATTTGCCTTATACAAAAGTATATTAAGTATTCTCTGCATCAAGAACTAAAAGAGAGATGGATATTTTTCAGGTTTGCTCCTTAACTTCCTGGCTATAGAGCACATTTTCATCAGCTGCAAGGAAAATTTAAGTCTATTAAATATTCCATAATGTAGATAAGCAGCTAAAGGTTAGGTTAAAGACTTAATAACAGCATACGATATAACAGCTTGGGGGACCCTTGAGGCAAGTATCAGTTCAATCCCCTCCGACAGAGAGAGTAGCCAGGCTACTACGTAAGAGGAATATATGCATATGTCCACATCATTTTTCATCACGCACCCCAACATTCAGCTAGTTCTACTACTGAGGTCAATGGCATAGCCAAAAATGGGAAGTTTCCTCACCCACACAGCCTCCACAGCTGAAAGGAAAAAAAAAAAAAAGAAAAAAAAAAAGAAGAAAAAAAAATATTAGAACAAAAAAACAGAGGAAACTATTCCAGGACTCAACACTGGACATATATAAGTCAGACTGAAGAAGTTTGATAGAAATTTTCCTTCAAAAGTGAGAAATACAGGAGGCAGACGATGGCCAGAGGGAGCAACACACTACCCGTGTCCTTTTCTTACAGTCTCCATGGGCATCAGGAAACAAGTATGAAATCTAATTCATTCAGATTTTCTACTACCTATTAATAAATAATTGTTAACATCACCTTCCGGATGTGTTCTGTAACAATACAGTAACAAATACAGTAAAATTTTATATTTAGTTTTAAAATGTTGACCAGAAAAAAAATCTACCAAATGTTCTTCTTATTAAAAATTAGTCTTTATGTTTGAAATTGGTATCTTCAACAGATTTCATTGAACATATATTTTACAATAGAAAAAGAATTCCTGAAGTGCAAAAAAATATCATCCAATAATACTATTTTGTAAAAGATTTTTGTTGGTGGTTGGTTGGTTGTTTAGGGGGAGTGTTTGCAGAGGTGACTTTAGCAGAAAGGACATAGAAGTTGATGACCATTGTTGTTACTCAGTTTAAATGTCATTTGACTTGACTTGAACCTGCAAATCTTTGATCCCACCTGAAAGAAAATGTATTTATTTATCTATTCCTTAAGATTCGATCCTTTAATCCACAAAATCTATCAGCAGGTGTTGCATAAGACACTAAGTAAGAACTATTAGGGACAAATACAATTTGAATTCATTAGAAAAACTTCCCTCCACGTGTAGATGTAAGAAAACATTAAAATTCTCCTAAGTTTACGTATTTACATATTTAATAATGTATTGTTAATTTTTTTAGTATTTACCTATTTACATTTTAATATTGCTGAACTAGAAATCCCCTAATTTTTGTTCTGGATCATATCTTGCTAAATGGATCTACGTTCTTTAACATACTGTATCAATGTAATAAAACTCTGGGTATCTCCAAGAGCACCTCTTTATAACATTTATGTGTGAAACTTCATCCTTTGCTAGAAACACAGCATCATCTGATAGCCCAAGACTTCAGTACTGCTCCACCTTTTATTATGTAGTAAACTTTTAAACTTACATATAATTTCCACTTATATGTGAAAATATATTTCCACACATAGGATTAAAAACATTCCTCCCTTCATGGAGAAACAATAGGAAAAATTTCTACAAATGCAACAATACATTTGAGAACATAGCACAGAGAAGTCAAGAAACTTGAAAGATAAGCTCCCTCCAACAATGTTATTGGCATACTTCACTTGCGCAGACCTCACACCACTCAGTAAAACAGCATCTGCATAAGCTCGCTCTGCTGGTGGGGGTGCCTGGTATTTCATATTCACACAGGCAGCACGTATGTGTGTGATGAAAAAAAGATCATAAAATGGGTGAATCTCTGGGCTCATCAGATCTCATAAGACTAAAAAAAAAAAAATCTTCTGTTGTTAAAATTCTGGAAGAGACTGAGCCGCTTGGAGAGGAACGTCATAGCATCACACCTACGGCTCCATTTCTGGACTTAAGCATCAGCCTCAGTGCTGTACCACATGTACATGAGAGGTTGGCACCGTCACTGGCAGCGCAAGACACGAACCAATCCACAATTTTCATGCATACACTGAAAGACTTAACCCATTCACTTTTTCACTAGGACAGTACAACATATACTGAGGTTTCTAGGTGTTTTTTTCCCAAGAAAACATGGTGGGTTCCTCTACCCTTCTTCTTCAAAGGCATTTCACAAAAAAATACTTCAGCTGTGTGTCATACATGTACCACATTTGCATTTGAATTTATGCAATATTTTACTTTGACAGTGTAAACTAGTAAAAAAATTACTGGTGGTCTATTCTGCAAAGCTTTACTCGTGCCTTCATGTACTTACTAAAAACTGTAAGCCTTGGAGAACACTCATGTCATAAACATCTTACACACCTCAAACATTTCAGACAGCTCACTGATATAATTAGTAGGAGAGGCAATGGACATTGAGGTAATCTGTAATATTGACTGATCAGAAAGTGGTGTATCAAACTGCACAGAAATTATCATTTATGCTGTTGGGTTTTTTTTGAGCTGGCCCAAGATGTATATTTATACTGATGCAATTATCTCCATTAAGCAGATATTACAATTATGATCCAAAAATGTAATTTTTTATTAACATTTGACTATGTTATCACTTCTTTGCTGGTTTAAATTCCTATAGTGTATACTTATCTGAAATATTTGCACATATACACTGAAGATTAAAAAGTGACAAAATGATGCACTTGCCTATGTATGCTCTGTCTGCACAGATTTTCTAAAAATGCCAAAGATTTGGGTCACCTTTATGCACAGTTACATTTTAAATTATTTTTAAATGTAGTAGGAGACTATATTTTTTTTACTTACTTAAAAATCCAGCAGATGGCACTACAGATTGCATTTTCACTCTGCCAGTTCAACTCAAATTATTCAAGCTCGCAATCTTTAATACCTGATTTAACATTATAAAAATATTACGCCCCATCATGAGTTCAAGCTGGTAGAAAAAGTGCCACCTTCTAAGTGACATAGCCTTACGTAACTATCCACCAGCGGCTATCGCATCTATGAAAAAAGCTCTAAGCAAAATGCAGTACTTTCCCCTTTTCACCCATGCCACGCAAACACATAATCACACAGAGCGTAGACTTGTTTCGTTTGGGTTATGGGGTTTTTTTCATAAAATCAGTGGGACTTTAACCAATTTCTGTTCTTAGCATTCTTCTTTATGGCAAATAAAACAAACAAAAAAAATAGTTCAAGAATGCAAACTCAGATTTGTTTCCACACATTTTCTTCTGCTGGAGGAGATGTACAAAAGGCTAACATTTCATTAACATGTTGGTAGGGTAACATATTTGGACAAAACAGCAAGACTTCTAGGACTTCTGGATATTTAATGTGCCCATGAAGGCAACAGCTACATCTAAAAACCTGTAGACAAACTTTAAGAGGCTATGTGGAAGCTGTGATCTGAAACCCACTGTTCAGCAGCTCCGTAAAGCTGGAAGACCTCAGTCTCACCGGGTTCCTCGCTGCTCTGCCAGAGCTGTGGGTACTCATCTCATGCAGATCTTCCCAGAGGGAGCAGTGCGGCACTTAGCTTTTGCCTCAGCCCCGCTAGCATCTTAGCCAGGAAAAGCTGTCAACTTGTGATGGGTTTGGGGAATACACGCTTTAAACAACAAAGCCAAGACAAGCAAGATGCTATGGATAGTTTTGTCTGTGTAAAAAGAAATAGGGAGCTTAGTAGGAATCTAGCACGTGTTGACTAGAAGAGCTGAAGTTCAGTGAAGAAGTCTAGATGTACTGGTTACTTTATGCATCCTCACGTCACATATAAATCTGTTATTAAAATTTATACCCTCTGCACAAGTAGGACAAATTAAGGTTAAATAGTAAATAAACATATCAAAGTCTTCTAGCTCCCGAGTGCTTGACATAGCAATGTTAATGCATTAGCATATTTGAATTCCCGGGTATTTTGGAATGTTTGGGGTGTGCTGCTTTTTAGCACAATGATATCCTGGTTTGGTTGTTTTGCGAAGATCAAATAACTGCTGAAGGTACTCATATTGCAAAATATTGTACTTCTGAGTGAATTTGGATGTTGTGTTAATATTCCTTTATTATGGCTATTGCTGTAATTTTTTTAGTTAGTGTGAACTGCCATTTTAAGAGCAGAGTATAGAATTTGACTGTAAAAAACACTTGCCAAATTGTGAAACAGGTAGGAACCCATTTAATCAACTAATCTTTAGAGCAAAAAAAGCCATGTTTGTGTAAAAGTAATACAAGCATTTATCAAAGGGCTGCAAATTGAAGAGTTAAAGGCTTCCATATCTTGAAGGTGTTGGGTTTTCCCCTCCATTAACTGGTTACTTCTAGCCCCTTTGCTGTTACCTGCTGTCTTCCCACTTTACCCTACCGCCCATCTGACCTTTCCCTATTCACATTTCCTGTAGGTCTTGTCTCTCCCTCCCACACATTTTTTAAATAAATATATCACAATAATAATTATATACTACATACATTATAGCATGTTCTGTATCCTATAACAACAACAAATATTCCGTTTTCCTCAAAATTACAGATTTTACCTGTCCAGAAGGTTTCTTCGTGCTCCCCGTTCATTCAACACACCATTATGGTTCAACTCTATTATTCTTTCAACTTGGTCTTCACCTGCCGCCTGTGACATTTTTCACCTTGCCAACACCTCACCAGTGCAGGATTCACCACCTGGATCCTGCTGGGCACCAGCCCTTTCTCCTCCACA